AATAATAATAATAATAATAAATAAAAATAAAAATAACAAAATAACAAAATGTATGAACTTTGGGGGACTTTTAACAGTAGATTAGCATAAGTCACCTATTCTTTCCAAGTTTTCTGAACCTGCTCATTAGCAAAGATTCTATTAAAGCTACGTTTTTATTCCAGAAGCACATAATTGGCAATAGTATGCAGTTGATGAAATAGAAATGTGCTGACTAGAATTTACTCCTTTAGAGGAAGATAGTTCTCTGCTTATTGCCAGACCTAGCTTTTTTGTTTTATCATTACATTGAAGTTTGTCACGTTGTACTATGGCATTTACTAGCAATTTTCTTTTCTTCCTTCCTTCCTTTTTTTTTTGTACTCTCTGGAGTCTTCTGAGTGGACAGTGTAGTTTAATGGCATTTTTAATTTCAGCACCAAGCATTCTGGTCTCTTTCTGTTGGTAATAATGCTCTGTTACTCCCTTTGGAAGCTGCTTCCCACATTCTGTGTTATTTGGATGAGAGTGTCAGTCAAGTGTCTCAAGCAGCATAAGCCAGTTAAGCTGAGCCAGGTGAATTATTTTTTCTAGGAAGTTACATCGAGAGCATGACTAGTGATGAAAAAAAATCATACTGCTTGATGTCCTCGTGTCCAGCAAACTCCTTGGCCTTTATCTTCAGGATTAAATAGGAATAGACATTTTAGGCCCGAGAGATCAATTATTAATCGTGCCAATTATAAAAGTAAGATTTTTATATTTAATCCTTATATCTTTCACAAAGGCTCACATTCTTATTTATAGGCACTGAACAAGTGACAGCTATTACATGGTAGTTTGTTAGGAGGAAGTCTGGAATTCAAATCTAGGAATTTTTAATGTCTTCCCTTGACAAGATTTTTATGGAAAAAGTGTGAAGATTTATAACTAACTTATTCTGGAAATGTTGACAACCAAGACAAACAGCTATAGGCTTTTAATCTATGGCCCCAAATCGGGTATATTTAAAGTTCTGCATATGATGATATAAAAAATATTTTCATGATGCACTGAAAATTTATCAAATAGGAAAGCTGTGATTTGGGTGATAGTTTATATATTTGTTGTAGTGCAAATGGAATACTACCTATTTTGGTGGACCCTGTAAACATAGATAGTGAAACTGTAAGCAACAGCATTTGAAAAGTAAATGCACTGTGAACATATTTTATAAATCTATGGCGACTAATAATAAATGGGATCTCTCATACAGGAGAGACTTGCTGTTACTTATTGATTTTATTTCTTTAGCAAACATTTAGGCAACACTTACTATATTAAATATATATACAATGATATAATTTCCCTCATTTACAGATGGGGAAACTGAAGTCATAGAGAGATGAAATAACTTGTCAAAGATCCCACAGCTGAATTGAATTCATCTCGTTAACAAATCAGTTTTATTTATCACCTTAAAGGTTGCTGCTGGAATGAAATGATGAACAATATGCATGAAGCAATTATTTTCACCACTGTCTCTGATCAAAATAATTGTTTCTACTTATATAACAATTATTTATTGAGTACATACTACATGTACTACTTACAATGTACAGAAACTATATAGTGAACAAAATAGGCAAGTGTTTGACTTCATAAAGCTTATGTTCTAGTGAGAATTCTGTTAGGATATTAATACTTGAAAGTGATCTTATTTTAAGCTTTTTTAGGGCTGGGACTATGTCTTTTGTCTCCGTATCCCTAACTTCCAGGTCAGTTTGTGATAGATATTAGAGAGTACATGAATAAAAGAAAAAGTAAATGAAATACAACCTACAATGTTTCTTTATTTTTGTTTTTTATTTGAAACTGTTTCCTGAAGAGTAACATATATTTATATAGAGAACATTTGATTCTGAAGAAATTATGCAAAATATAATTATCATTACATTTTCAAGTTTTAAATATATTATTTGGGAATAGGAAATAGTAATGTTATTGAAAAGGCAAGAAAATGTGGTACAACATTTCAAAACATTTATCTATAAAGTGCTTTATATGATGGGCAGTAGTTAATTAGGATTTTCAGATGAATGGGTAAATAAAATCTATCTTAGTCTCTACTTTTTAACTGACTTGGGATCATGATTATAGAGCACTGAAAGAGAAAAATCTAAGTTTCCCAAACCTCACATATAGGGGCAGGGACATACAAAGGCATATATCTTACAAATAACATAAACTAGAATCTTCAGGGAAAAAAATGCATTGTAATCATTTTGTTTATTAAAATAAGAATAACAAATAATTTTTACTTTATTGGTGTATCTTCAGTATATGTTACTTAGATATGTAGCCCTTGACCTAGTAGGAATCAAAATAGAGGTAGTTCTACTTCAAGAATCTGTAATAATCCCTTCACTTTAACACATGAATGTGTTCAATATTGGCAAAAGAACACGTTGCTACCAAAACTGAAACAAGATCCTTGAAACAGAAAGGATGTTGCCATGGAAAAATGAAGTAACACTCAGTGCAGCTGTGATGCATTCATGAATAGGATATTTTTTTAAAAGATCATTTGTGTTTGGCGTGGCTCAGAGGGTCCCAACCAGATGGTTTCCATGAACATGATCTGACCCCCAGCTTGAGGACTTCTTACTGGCAGATTACTTCATTTTCTTTCCCTCAGATTGTCAGATCCTTACATTAATTCAAAATTTACTGCTGCAGATTTATATTCAGTAATATAAATCACTCAACATTTTACATTAAAACCACAATTTTATACATAAAGTTTAACAGTTATTTTAAAAGTGTAAAAAGATTTATGTGATAGCTTTAGTATATATAATAGATATAATATCATAATTTTGAGTAATTTTAATTATATGATTCTTATCATTAAAGGAATTCTCACAACATATATCATATTTTAGAAAGTTGATTTTAGAGTTGTTATGTATCTGATGCTACTATACTGTTGATTCTATTTGCATTGCTCACATTGTTTATACTTGATGGAATAATTGAGCTTTAAATTAGTGAAATTTTATGTTTTATGATTTTGGAAATTTTGGCATGATTTAAATTTGCTCCTAAGGACATGTGTGCATATATTTGTGTATGATAACATATTAAACTAATTACTGCACACTTTTGAAAGCATTTTTCAACATAGTATCAATACCTGCATAAAGTGTTAAATATTGACACTTCATATTTTGACATTTTAACCTGAATTAATAAAGGATATGCTCTTAATGTGCCATTTTAAATTGTGCAACTGAAAATTACTGATGAATTATGTTAAACATTTTAAAGCATAACTGTAACTTACCTGAGACAATATAGATTTCTATTTCAAAATAAATAAAACATGTCATGATTTTAAATCAATAAACTACTTAACACACATGTACTTTAATCTGCAGGATAAGATTTTAGAACTAAAATGAGTTTATGCTTCATGAACCAATACACTTATTTTTGCAAAATTTTATCTGTATTTTTCTTCACTGAATTCATCAGTTTGTCCATGCCCCAAAATGTGAAGCAAAGACAAACAGGCTTGTTTATTTATAGGTTGGCAAATTTTTTATCTAGGAATTCTAAACCTGTTACATATCATCATGCTGTCACCAGAGTAGTGTATTAGCCTCAAGAGAAGAGATATTGCTATTATCTTTTTAAAATGTAGTCTTTTTCTAATATAGTTTCTTTGAATATCCAAGAATTTATGAATTTTAAAAAAATTGTTTTTATCACACCTTCAGATAACATCTTTGAATAACAAATATTTTGTAGGAAATTAACCAATATAGTTTGTATTTTGTCAATAACTTAAGTATCGTAGGCTGTTGGAGCAATTTAATAATGAAGTACACAGTATTAATATGTAGGCACCACTAAGACAAATAGACTTTAATCTACATTGCTTCTGACTTAAGAAGTTATGATGAATTTATTTTTGGGGTTGGGCTTACTTTATCTCTTTATCTTAATCTCTAAGGGGCTGGCAACTTAATGTAACTCCAGTGGGGATAGGAGAGCATTAAGATAATACGTGAAATTACAATTTAGGTAATTTGAAGAAGGAAGAAAGGAAGAAATAATGCTCTGATTTTTAAGTCTTCTGATTTTGCCTATTCCCATGTATTTGTTTATATATAATATATCTGATATATTTATGTATACTTGAATCATTATATATAAAAAGCGAAACTATGTGATATAAACATGTTCTTTAATGGTTGTCTCATGTTATAAATTGAATGTTTTAAACTCTTTTTCTTATACTCTAGTCTGTAAAGTAAAAATGGAGAACTAAATTCACGTAAATATAGCCCTTTTTAAAAAAGTAACAGCAATAAAATGCTAGGTAGTTCTAGGCTTTATCTGATGTTAACAACATTTTCTAATCAACTGCAGAAGAAGGAGGGTTTTCTGATCTTCTTTTGCCAGCACACTTTCTAATTCAATCTTTTTTCTTGGAAAAGACTGTGAAAGGGCAGATATATTTTTATCTCTTGTCACTGGGCATTTTGTGTCAAGTTTATAACAAGAGTAAACAATACCTTTTCAAGTGTTTTTAATATTCATTAGTGAAAAGTCATAAAGACATAAATATGGAACATTTACTTTTTTGGTTGTTTATTCTGGTGAAGATATTAGGTGTTTGACAGTGTATTTAGTCTGATCCAAATATTTTAATTCTGCTTTTCTTTTCTAGCTTGAAGTACAATCTTGTTGTGTATTTATTCCAAATGAAAGTCTGCCTTCCCCAAGTACAATTGTATGTGGTGACATTCCTGGAACAGTAAGAAGTTGGTACCATGGACAGACCAGCATGCCAGGAACACTTGTCCTCTGTTTGCCTCAAATAAAGATTATTAGTGCTGGGCACAAGTATATGGAACCTCTGCAGGAGATCCCATTTGTTATCCCACGACCCATCCTTGAAGAAGGTATATTAAAAATTTTTTTTTCCTATGGTTAATGTTTTATATGGATTTTTTTGATTTTTTGATATCTTTAAATGTGTCAGTATATACAGAAATCAGTCTTCTCATTGAAAGATTTTCATGACCAAAGTAAATGAACTAAGTGATGCCATTTATTGCCATCCATATCTTTTAATCTCAGTCATATATTTACATATATGTTATCTATAAAAGATCATATGCAAAAGAATATAACTAAAATATAAACATAGGAAAAATTAACAGTAATAAAGTTGGTTTTGGATATTAGGCTGACCTAAAAATGATAAGTAGATTGATATTAATTTAAGGTACTTGATTTACGAATGTATATATTATATATAGATAATTGCATGAATATATTACTTATAGCAAGCATAATGTATTTTTAGATTTCTCATTTGTTTACACAAAGTAAATAATTATATGATGATTAGAGTCATGTTTCTTCTATATATACGTGATTTCTCATATTGCTGTGTTTTCAGTTATGAATTCATAACCTTTTGAACTTTGACATATTCATTTCAAACAAAATGTGAACCTGGAAAAGTTTTGAGTCACAAAGTAAATAATGTGAATATATATTTTAATAACAAGGCTGAAATTTTTGACAGTGCTAAACAGGTCAACACCTTGTTCATATTATTAGGATGTAAGTGTATGAGTCCTGATATCGTTGAAATTTCTACATACTGTCACTGAAAAGCAGACATAGCCTGTGTAATTTCTGACTTCTACTTTGATGTTGATTTCTCTCTCCTTTTCTCCGTACTATCTACTGAAATCTACTTTTCTTATATTTGTCAAAAGAAAGCATGATTTTACTCATACATTTTTAATCCTTAATAATATGAATACTCTTATATAATCATAGAATTTTAAAGTTAAAGGTAATGTTTTTAGAGTATATGGTCTTTTGTGACTGGTTTCTTTCATTCACCATAATATTTTAAAGATCAAAGCATGTTGTAGCAGTCTTTGTTGTTTTTATGGCTGAATAGTATTCCATCTTATGGATATACCAAGTTTTATTGATCCATTTATCAGATGATGGACAGTTGAGGTTGTTTTCACTTTTTGACTTTTATGAGCAATCCTGGTATAAACATTCTTTTATAGGGTTTTTTTTTTGTGGATTTGCTTTAATTTCTTTTAGCTATATGCCCCGGAGTAGAATTGTTGAATTGTGTGGTAACTAGGTTTGAGCTCTTCAGGAATTGCCAGACTGCCATCTAAACTGCATCATTTTACAATTCCACATCAATGTACAAAGGTTCTGATTTTTCCACATCTTTGTCACTATTTGTTATTATCTGCTTTGTTTCTTTTTCTTTTTTTGTTCTAGCCATCCTAGACAATAACCTCTTAAACTAGAGAGAACAATTAAAGTGTTTTTAAGAACTGTGTTGGTCAGGCAGAGAGTAAATAGATTGATTTGTACATCATTTAATACACTAAATACCCATCTTAATATTTATAAAACAGAAGTTTACTTTATGAAAATGGTGCTTATTTTTACTATAAAAATAATAAAAGTGGTGTGAGGTGGTATTTCATTGTAGTTTTGGTTTGCATTTCCCTAATAACTAATAATGTTGAGCTTATTTTCATGTGCTTGTTGGCTATTTGTATGTCTTCTTTAATATTTTCTTTCTTTTACTTTTTTTTTTTTTTTATGGGGTCTTTTTCTGTTGCCCAGGCTGAAATCCAGTAGTGTAATCATGGCTCACTGCAACCTTGAGCTCCTGAGCTCAATCGATACTCACACCTCCTGAGTACCTGGGACTACAGGCATACACCACCATACCTATCTAAATTAAAAATTTTTTTTGTAGCAATAGGATTTCACCATGTTTTGCAGGTTGGTCTCAAACTCCTGGGCTCAAGTGATCAGCCTCCAAAAGCACTGGGATTATAGGTGTGAGTCACAATGCCCAGCCTTATATTTTCTTTTATTCAAATCTGTTGCCCACTTTTTAGTTCAGTTACTTGCCACCTTAGAGTTGAGTTGTAAGAGTTCTTTATAATATTCTAGATACAAGACTCTTATAAGATACATGATTTGCAAATATCTTCTCCCATTTTATACACTGTCTTTCCACTTCCTTTGTCTTATAGACATTTGCAATTTTTATAAAAGTTGTATGATATGAATATCTATATTATAAATTTATATAATATAAATTGCTATTATATTTATAGTATAAACTTTGGCAGACTTCATCTCTACAAAAAATTTTAAATTTTTTTGTGGTGGCTAATCTAATTTTTAGATGTGGTGGCTAGCACCTATAGTCCTAGCTACATGGGAGGTTGAGGTGGGAGGATAGCTAGAGCCCAGGAGTTCCAGAATGCAGTGAGCTATGATTGTACCACTGCACTCCAGCCTAGGCAACAGAGCAAGACCTTGTCTCTGTAAATTAATTAACTAAATATATATAATACATGATATATATTTTGTAATATGTACTATTTTTATTATACTTATAAACCATATACGTAATTTTATTTTACATGATTATGTAAAGTATATAATATATAATGCAGAATTATGTAAAGTATATATATTATGTAATACATATATAAATGTAAACATAATGTAAAAAGTTTTCCTTTGCTGTATTGACAATTATTTTCTCACTATTCCTTTTTTTAATATTAGAAATTAATACCATTTCCACAAAGATTCAGTTTTAGAAATATTAAGATGCATATTTAATTTATTAAATGATATTGTAAATCAGTCTATTTACTTTCCACCTGAGCAACACAGTTCTTTTTTTTTTTTTTTTTTGAGACAGAGTTTCACTCTTGTTACCCAGGCTGGAGTGCAATGGCGCGATCTTGGCTCACCGCAACCTTAGCCTTCTGGGTTCAAGCGATTCTCCTGTCTCAGCCTCCTGAGTAGCTGGGACTACAGGCGTGTGCCACCATGCCCAGCTAATTTTTGTATTTTTAGTAGAGACGGGGTTTCACCATGTTGACCAGGATGGTCTTGATATCTTGACCTCGTGATCCACCCGCCTCGGCCTCCCAAAGTGCTGGGATTATAGGCGTGAGCCACCGCGCCCGGCCTGCAACACAGTTCTTAAAACACTTTAATCCTTTTCTCCAGATTGAGGTTATTGTTATATATTTTCTTCTATTTTTAAAGCGATATTATTTTGTAATATAATTGCTTAGATTTGGCACATACAGGACTAATGCAGAAGTTGGAAAACTTTCTCAATTAAGTGCCAGATATTAAATATTTTTGTTTCAGCAGCTATATGGTTTCTGTTTTAACTATTCAATCATGCTTTATAGTGCAGAGCAAAAGACAATACGTCAACACATTGGTATGACTGTGTTCCAATTTACAGAATCTGGTGGTTGGCTACATTTGGTCATGAGCCATATTTGCCTACCTATATTCTAGTGCTTTAGTAGTCATTCCTTTTCACAGTTCAGCCCTTCCTTCTTTCTCAGTTCATTTACTTCTGCCTGAAGTACATCCTCTAGAAGCTCTTTTTATGATAGTCTGATGTTAGCAAACTCTCAATTTTGTTTCTTTGCCTTTTTTTGAAAAAGATATTTTCTGGGTATGTAATTCCTTGTTTATAGTTATTTTCGCCCAGCTCATTGAAGGCTGTTGTGCTGATTCTTGCTTTTCATTGGCCTTTTAGGACATACAATGCCATTTCATGTTTCCTTGGAGGTAGTTTGTCCTTTTCCTCTGGCTTCTTTAAGGATCTTCTCAGTCTTTGTGTTTTAAAGTTTTAATATTGGAGTCTTAGGAGTTTGCAAGTTTTCTGGCATTGTCTATTCAGATATTACCTCTACTTCATTCTTTCCATACATGTGTTAGACTTTTTGCTTTTTTACTGTATTTTCCATGTTGCTTCTTTGCTTTTTCATATTTTCTCTCTTTGACTTGCTGGCCTGCATTCCAGTTAGTTTCTTTAATTAAGTTCTGCAGTTCATTAATTTTCTTTTCAGTTGTGTCTAATATTTTGTTAAAGTTGTTCTTTGAATTTTTCAATGTCAACTTTAATGAAAGTCTAACATAGAAAATGGTACAACACTAAGTATACAACTTGATACGTTTTTGTCAAATAAACTCATACATGTCGCTAGTACCTGAATAGAGATCAAGAATACTCCCAGTACCCAGAAGATCTTCTCTTGGGGGCAAATTGTGTTTGACATTTAAAATCATAAATTAGTTTTCTTATTTTTGAACTTCATAGCACTTTATTGAATTTAAAATTTTACATAGGATATTCTTTTAATCTTGATTCTATTTAAAACTCCTAATTTTTACTCATGTTTTCAAGGCTTCCTTTTATTTCTTTATACATGAAATATTTAACTTACGTGATTGTCTAATTCCTGCTGACTCTTGCCTACTGTACCTACTCAGCCTTGTTTATTCTTTTCTTTTCTGTGCTATTTATTTTCCTTAGAAATTTCTCTGTAGAAATTTTTTGAAGACTGGCCTGAAAGATTCCTCCTTTGCGGGCTTGAATTTACTTCTGACCTGTTGGCCGCACTGCTAGCTCAGAACCATTTGAAACAATTCTTGATAAAATGTTTTCTTCCCACTTAGATAATGAAAATTCAAGCTACAGCCTCTTAAGAGGGCTGGTTTGTGGTTGTGGGTTTTTCTCCCTCTATTCAAGGTTTCATTTTCTGGTAACGTTTGTGAGAGGATTATGTAAAGAAGGGAAGAACAGACAATTTTATTTCTACTTTACCTGTACATGAATAGTCTAGCCATTTGCATGCCAGCTTTATGTTTTATTATTTTCTGCACTATGAGTGGGCCTTAAGCTTTATCTTCAGCCAAACTTAAGTTGACTTCAGTTCAGTGTTGAAAACAGATGCTCAGTTTTAATCAACTTTGAAATGCCTTGGGCCATTTACTTTGCATACCTCTGTGTTTCTGGCTTCACTCAGTCCCTGGCTTTAATAATCCTTACTCTTTTTGGAAATTTATTAAT